CTCCGAAGGCACCTGAAGCTGTGCCCGCGACTTCTCGCAGCTCTTCGCGAAGAATGCGTGCACGTTCATCGTTGTGTTGACGAATCTGAATGACGCTAGCTTCAAGTCGATCGAAGTCGGACTTGACGGCCACAAGTTTGTTAGTCTCGCGATCTCGTTGTGTATCGAGACGCTGCATCAGCTGTTGCATGATCCGACGGTCCTCTTGGACGGCAGCGTCCAGGATCGAAAGACCCTGTTGGAGGTCACTCCGGAGGACGGCGGGATCAGAGGCCACAGCCTTGTGGACGAGGCTAGTTTGATATTCAACGTATGTGTGCACGTGATCTCGTAGCTCAGCCATGTCTTGCATTGGAAGAGCCTCCCTATGTCGGTTTGCGGCTGGGGAACTATGGGGCCTAATACGAACCCCCCGGACAGATGGACTCCTACTGCCGCGATCGTCTCGAATAATGTACTGTTCGGGGCCACGCCTGGGAGCTTGGCTCTTAGAATGAGCACGGCGACTAGGGCCATGGTCAGAAGTACGGTTTTCGAATTCACGGACTCGCTCATAAACCTGTCCCTGTTCAATCCCTGTTTGTTCGGGCGTCCCATGGCCCCACCTTCGTGTGCCTGTGCCTCTCTCTCTCGGAGGGGAGGAAGGTGTAGGCATGTGTGGAGCTGCGGTATCCCGCTGCACTGTCTGGGACGGTGCTGCGGTGGCCCGCCGCGCTGTTTGTGGCGGGGCTGCGGTTTCCCGCCGCGCTGACTGGTGCAGTGCTGCGGGAGGGACGTCAGATGTGGTATGAAGGGTGGGGAATTGAGGCGTGAGCCCTGGAGCGGCGTGTAAGAATCGCTGCTGTAGGGGGGTCTGATCTCCAATAGGAAGTGGGGGTGCGGAAACGCTATGAGCATGCAAGGCACGAAGCTGTTGCAACACAGCTTGCATAGCGTGGAGCTGAAGTGCCGCCTGGGTGGGCAACGCTGGCATTGCTGCGGTTTCCCGCTGCATTGACTGCGCTGCACTGGGTGGGGGCATAGCTTCGTCCAATCCGTCGGTTCCTGGAGAGATGGCCATGCGGGCCGCAAAATTTGGGGAAGCTCCTAGAATATCGGACATATCAGCATCCAAGTTGCGCGCGACTGACGGCGACGACTCATCATGCGGGAGGACGGACGACTGGTGTCGTGCCGTCATCTCGCATAACTAGTCCGATGTCGTCAGGTCGGGGCGCAGGTTGGATGCGATGTCGGATATAAAAGAGAAGGCTGATAACCTGTGTGAGGGTGAGGAGGACCAATGGACCGACCCCACCCCCCGAGTGTCCGTCGGTAGACGATGAGGGACGATGGTTTTACCCAACGTACCTCCAAGTATCGAGTACCTGTCATCCGAGCCAAGAGGGGCGATGGATATGAGCAAGATAGGAGGAAAGTAGGGGGATTCACACACACATCCTCCTCCTCCTCCTCCTCCTCCGCCTCCTCTTCATCCTCCTCCTCCTCCTCCTCCTCCTCCTCCTCTCCTGCCTCCTCCTCCTCCTCCTCCTCCTCCTCCTTCCTCCTCTCCTTTACTACTACTACACTACTATACTACTACTACTACTACTACTACTACTACTACTACTACTATACTACTACTACTACTACTACTGCTGGTACCACCACCACTACTACTACTACTACTACTACTACTACTACTACTACTACTACTACTACTACTACTACTTACTACTACTTACTACTACTTACTACTACTTACTACTACTTACTACTACTTACTACTACTACTACTACTACTACTACTACTACTACTACTACTACTACTACTACTACGACTACAACTACTACTACTACTACTACTACTACGAATACTACTACTACTACTACTCCTGCTTCCTCCTCCTTCTCCCCCGCTTCCTCATCCACCTCCTGCTCGGCCTCCTCCTCCTCCTCCTCCTCCTCCTCCTCCTCCTCCTCCTCCTCCTCCTCCTCCTCCTCCTCCTCCTCCTCCTCCTCCTCCTCCTCCTCCTCCTCCTCCTCCTCCTGCCTCCTCTTTGTACATCCTGCCTCATTACTCCTACTCCAGCTCCTCATCCTCCTCCTCCTCCTCCTCCTCCTCCTCCTCATCCTGCCTCGCCTCCACCTCTCCTCCTCCTCCTTCCTCCTCCTTCCTCCTCCACCTCTCCTCCGCCTCCTCCTCCTTCCTCCTCCTCCTGGAAAAGGACGGAAAAGAGAGAGAGGAGGGAGGATGAATCCGACGGCCTGCTATTCCTCCTGAAACCCTCCCTCATTGCCTCCTCCTCATGCTTCCTCCTCTCCCCTGCCTCCTCCTCCTCCTCCTCCGCTCCTCCTCCTCCTCTCCTCCTCCTCCTCCGCCTCCTCCATCTCATCCTCATCCTCCTGCCTCCTCCGCGTCCTCCTCCTCCTCGTCCGCCTCCTCCTCCTCCTCCTCCTCTCCTCCTCCTTCCTCATCCTCCTTTCATCCTCTCTCCTTCTCCTCCGCCTCCTCCCCCTCCTCCTTCTCCTCTCTCCTCCCCTCCTCTCCTGCTCCTGCCTCCTCCTCCTCCTCCTCCTCCTCCTCCTCCTCCTCCTGCCTCCTCCTCCTACTCCTCCTCCTCCCCCTTTTCCTCCTCATCCTTCCTCCTCCTCCTCCTGGAAAAGGGACGGAAGAGAGAGAGAGAGAGAGAGATCCGTCGGCTGCCTCGCCTCTCTGGGCGCCTGGGCCGCCGTCGCATGGCCACGGTCCGGCGATGCCCCCCCAAAAACCCTGGCCGGACGGGACCTTGGGGGGGCCCGTGGCTCAGCAGCACATGGGGCGCTCCCGACCTTCGGGTATCGAAGGAGTTGCCACCTTTTCCGCGGCGGAAGGCGGCGGAAATAAAACGAGGCAGCCTCTGCCGGCGGAAGCCCCTGGTTCAAATTCAAATGGCGGGTTCCGGAAACACTGGACCCGAAAACGTGCCCATCTCTTGGGGGCGCACTTTTACTTCCGCCGCCTTTCGCCGAGCTTCCGCCGGCGGAGGCGGTCTCGTTCTACTTCCGCCGACCTTCCGCTGGCGTTCCGCAGCCCTCCGCCGAGGAAGAGTTGACAGCTCCTTCGACTCTCGGAGGCAAGGCCCTGTCTGGAACGCCTCAAACGAGTATGGCACTTTGGTCGGGGAGGGTGAGTAGCAGCTGCGTCAGAAGTCCGAGAAGGGACGGGTGGGGGTTAGACGATTCGAGGTGTGTATCAAGGGGCATCGGAGGTTGTAGTGGGCATTTGGAAGAGGAGAACAGGAGCACGAGGGGGGAGGGAGGATGAGAGATGAGGAAGGAAGGATAGCAGGAGAACATTTCAAATGAAGAGGTGGGTGAGAAAGGGGGAGAATTGATGAAAGCAGGAGGGGTAGGATAAGAGAGAGCAGGAGGTGGAACGACAACTATATGGGAAAGGAGGATGAGGGACAAGGGGTATTCATGATAGCAGGGTGAGGATGATGAGGAGATAGAAAGATGTTTGGGGACGGGTGGAAGAGGTGGACCGAGAAGGTAACATGCAGGAGAGCAGGATGAAGAGACGCGAGGTGGAGGGCGGATGAGGGATAGAGAGAAAACCAATGCGAGGAGAGGAGGGTGCTGGAGATGATGATGATGATGATGATGATGATGATGAGGAGGAGGAGGAGGAGGAGGAGGAGGAGGAGGAGGAGGAGGATGGGTGACAAGGGAGATCCGATCGAGCGGGTCATATCGTCGGACCTCCCTCTCGGCGATCTCGAACATTATCCAAACAATTCTTCCAAATGTTCGCTGCCCCCCCCCCAGACACACAAGTATGTTGCATCGAATGCGGTTTGCCAATCGCATATGCCTGCCTTGTCGGACTCATGCCAGAGTCCGCTGAGGCAGCAGAAACCCAACCTGGCCCACTCCCCCACGAACCTCCCTCCCCCCTGCCACAGCGAGAGAGCATACGATCAAATCGCTGTTTTCCCACCCTCCGATCCCAACTGCTCTCGTACTTGCCAGATCAGCCACTGTGGCCACCTGGCACGCAATGGGATGGTATGATGCTCGGGCGCTGTCCGGCGGGACCTTTGCAGTTGTCTGAACCCTCGAACCACCCTCCTGCACCCAGAGCCGGGGCCGATTTTGCTTGCAGGATGGCCCAGGAAACCGCAAACAGGCGCTCAAGAGGCTCCATAGAGGCGCCACAGAAACGCCGAGCGGTGTCTGAAAGACCCTCTGGGAGAACTCCGATAGAATTTGAGTTGTACGGTGTGTTCTACCTTTCAACTTTTTCGCCAAAAGAAACCACAATATACCCCAAGACGCCCCTAGATCTCTCCCCAAACGGCCCCCAAGAAGCCGTAAGCGGCCCCGAGATGGCTTAAAGTCGGCGCAAAGACATTCCCGACAGCCCCGCGAGCCTCCAAAACTGTTCCAGGACCCCGACCCCAGACGGCAACAAGACTTTCAAAGGTGCCCCGAAGATCCTTTGCAAGCTCCGAGGAGTAGAGACGGAGTAAAGGAATATCAACGACACAAACAATAACTTTCCGAGGTCCGCGAGGATGTCTTGGAGTGGCGCTGGGCCCCCCTCCCTAGCGCGCGGAGCGCGTCAGGGGCGGCGTCAGAGGCGCCGCCAAAGAGGCCCAAGGCAGATCAAACAAATCCGCAAGGTGCTGAGAAAGTGTTTGGTCATGCCGTTTGTCTACTCCGGTAAGAAGCCTAAGACTCCCGACGTGGCATGCTAGTGCCCTCTGGGCAATGGGAAACCAGCTGCCACATGATACGGGTGTTCTCTCCACCATGGAAGCGATTCGATTGCAAGCCTGCAGGAAACGGGCCAAGTGCACATTCGTTGTGTACTCTGAAGCATGGGATTAAGAATTGTCGCATGTTACAGCCTGTTGAAACATTCTCGACGTGCCTGCAAACAAAGCCCTGTGCTAGCACGGTGCTGGAACATGCCGCAAACGCCTGGGCACTTCCCCGCGGAACATGCACCACACTGAAGAAGACACACAGGTGTTCACCATACCAGACTCGAACATCTGATCCAACTTGAATTCATGCCCGATGTCCCAGCACAATCAAGACACTGCAGCGGGGACCCAACTGCAGCGGGGATGCACGATCGGGCCCTTAGCAGAACCGATCAGTAAGGCTGCCTAAGGACAGGGCGCAGCGAGATTGATCAGCATGGCGTTGCCCAAAGCACAAGAGTGTGTTGTGGGAGCAAAGAGCGCGCTCCACCAAGAAAGCAGTGCCAGCCATTTCGCACGTACATGATACTTGAAACCAATGAAAACCGCTGAAGTGACGCTCCTTTCATGTTACGTCGCAACTGAAGTTCCCTGCCGTGCTGAGACTCCTGATCGATGCCAGGGCAGCGTGACATCATCTCTCCATACTAAGGACTCCCTACCCTTCCCTCATCTTCCCTCCCATCCCCTCCCCATTGCCCTCCCCTCCAGGAGGTGGAGAAAGGTGGAGGAGGGGCGAGATGAGGGAGGAGTGGAAAAGAGGGAGCTGCTCAGGCGGGATGAATGATGATAGCATGGGCGAGGAGAAAGGCAGGAGGAGGACCTCCCCATGTTCCCTCTGCGTGGTCTTCGACCCCCTCGCGTCTCCTCCCCCATTGCCTCCTCAACACATCCTCCCCTCCCATCCGCGCCTGCCGTATCTCCCTCCCTTTTCCTTTTCTTCCTACTCCTTCTCCTTTTTCTCCTTCTTATCCTTCTTATCCTTCTATTTATCTCTCTCCCTCCACCTCCCTGTCGTGGACGGGCAGTGGTCTCAGCGTCGCAAGAACGACTGCGGCAGAGCATTGGAGGACATGGCTGCTGTGCTTTAAAATCGGCACGCTGCTGATGTTGCTGCAGCGGGCGGCCAAAACCTCTATGATCGTGTCTGCCCGAACGGGCGCGTGGTGGCTGGCACCACACGGCCTGGTCATGCTCTCGCGCGCAGACGATGCTTGCCGGATCGGCACACGCACAACGGGACCTTGCCTTCGGGCCCTTCCTGGGCGGCTCCGCGTACGAAGGGCGCACTCGCAGCTCACCATCGTCGGGTGGGCCACCGTGGCGCTGCTTAAAACAGAGCTATGATCGGGATAAATCGCTCCAGAGCGTTCCGGAGCGCTCTCAGAGCGTTCCGGAACGCTCTGGAGCAGCCGCGGCGCCCAATACATCCTCCAAACCCGCCGATTCTCAGAGATTTCGAATTATCCCGATCCGATTTTGTCCCGATCTTCGCGTCGTTTTACTGCCGGAGCCGGCCGCCACCCCGGGCACGCCCGACGAGCCGCTCAAAGGGCACAACCCGGGGCGAGCTGTCGGCGCGAGCTGGCCGCGCTGCGGCACGCGATGCCGCCGGCACTCCGCCGTGGTCGACGGCATCCTTCGCCTTCCCGGGGCCTCGCCGGGGAAGGCCGCCAACGGACTACGACACGCATGTGCAGGGGGCCACATGCGAACCCCACCGCTACCCCCCACGATTTCTGAGGGGGAGGGTGGGGGGCGGGGGTGGGGTTCGCATGTGGCCTCCTAATGTGCTCCTGCCTGCATGTGCGACTTGACGTGCGGAGGCGAGCTGTCGGCGCTGCTGGCCGCGCTGCGGCACGCGATGCCGCCGGCCACCGCCGTGGTCGACGGCATCCTCGCCTCCCCGGGCCTCACCGAGGAAGGCCGCCAACGGACTGCGACACGCATGTGTAGGTTAACGGGCGAAGAACGGTATGAAATAAACTTTTCCGCTGTCGGGGGCGCCTGTCCCTGGGCGGCTGGAAAGTTTATACCCTTACGGTGGCACCGTAGGGGTATAAACTTTCCAGCCGCCCAGGGACAGGCGCCCCCGACAGCGAAAAAAATTATTTTACACCGTTCTTCGCTCGCTGTGTGGGGGGGGGCCACATGCGAACCCCACCCCTGCCCCCCACGATTTTTCTGAGGGAGAGGGTGGGGTTCACTTCGTTCGGGAGGCTCCCGAACGAAGTGACCCCCCCCCTACCCCCCTCAGAAATCGTGGGGGGCAGGGGTGGGGTTCGCATGTGGCCCCCTAATGTGCTCCTGCCAGCATGTGCGACTTGACGTGCGGAGGCTGCTGAAGAAACCCGCTGGGCCGCGCGATACGGTCAAGGCCCAGCGCACGAAGGTCGAGGCCCAGCGCGCGAGCGCGCGAAACGCCAGGTGCCGGAGGGCAGGACTGCCTACCGAGACTGGCGCGGCGACAAGTTGGCGGACGAGGCGGCGGAGGGTGCGGCGACTGACCCGCAGCTTCCTGCAACGGATCGTCGGCGACTGCCGGTATCCCACAGGCAGGCCGGCGGCGCTGGAGCGCGAGCCTCAGCGGCAGGCGCGAGCGTCGGCGGGTTCCAAAGGCTGCCGCGGCGCAGGCTGCGACGGAGCTCGAGCGCGCGCCGCGCGGGCCCGCAGGACGTCGCTGGTGCTCGAGGCGCCGCTGGGCTGAGGGCACCAGCGAACGCTCAGGCCCAATCACTGCGGCGCTGGAGGCCATCGCGGCGTTTCGTCGCTGCTTCATCATGCGAAGATTGCCCATGATCGACGCCTTGGCGGCAAAAGACCTGCCCGTCGCAGCCGGCCTGCCCTCCGTCGCTCGCTGACCCTCCTCCTCCTCCTCCTCCTCCTCCTCCTCCTCTCCTCCCTCCATCCTCCCTCCCCCCCCTCCCTCCCTCCCTCCTCCCTCCCTCCTCCCTCCCTCCCTCCCTCCCTCCCTCCCTCCCTCCTCCTCCTCCTCCTCCTCCTCCTCCTCCTCCTCCTCCTCCTCCCTCCTCCTCCTCCTCCTCCTCCTCCTCCTCCTCCTCCTGCCAGCAGCAGGATCCTCTGGAGCAGTATCTTGAAGCCAGCTGTGACTTTCAGATTTGACTAAAGTCGCCGAGGATTTGTTGAAAAAAGCTGGTCCTGGGTCCTGTCTTCTCCCTGGACCTGGCTAAACGAATCGTGATTACGAATGGCGAATTTTTAGATGCTGAATTAGCGAAGATTGGCCTCAAGCGTAACCAAAAAAACAAGAGGCCATCTTCTCGGTCCCGCCATCGGCGAAACGCCGTGTGGCACACATGCTTCGCAGTCAGCAATGTGGATGTGGAGAGTCGGTGCGATATCTAGGACCTCGCCTCACTCCGACTCAATCGTTTCAGGTTGAACTAGGTAAACGGATTCTTGCCGCCAAGACAGCCTATTTCCGCATGAGGCGTTTCTGGCAGCAACCCAACATACCGCACCGCTGGGAAAAATGTGGACCCTTTCGGCAGTTGAATGTTTTCTTCCTAGTGCTGGTCAGCTACGCAACCTTGAGCTCGCGGTTGCTGGTCTCTGTCGCAGAGCGATGCGGGGTAAAGCGAGCTGGGAAGATGCGCACCATGTCCGCTATTTGTCTTCCCAGCAGGTGCTCAAGCATTGGAAGATCACCCCGTTCTGCGTAGAGCTTCGTGTTAGACGGCTGAAGTGGTTTCAAGGAACTTGCACCCACCTCGAATATCATAGACAATTGATTGCTGCTTGGTTTGGCACGTTTCTAGGAGAAAAAGCTGTTGGGGATTCGATCTCGGTGATGCCAGACGCGAATCCTTGGGCTCTGCGAGTTTTAGCGGACATTGAGCAGCTTGTGCGTGTCTCCGAGGAAGCCCATGACCTGTGGCTTGAAATTCGAAGGACTTAAAAACTGGTCTAGCCCGAGTTTGCTGCCCGATTTAAACGAATAGATGTCACGATCCTGCGTAGTGCCTCCCTCGGTGTAAATATCGGCCCCGACTCTCACGAGCCCCCTGCGGGATCCAGTCCTGGTGCCCAGGAGGCCGAGGCCCTTTTTATCCGATCGAGTGCACGCATGTCCCTGGCCTGATGAAACGGGCCCATGTGGGGCCACTTTTAGTTGCAAAGCTGGACTAGCCAACCATTTTAGGATTGTGCATAGCAGTGTCAAACCCTCTCATGCTCTCGCGCTCACTAATCAGTGTATGCTATGTGAAGCAGTGTTCGGAGAACGGCTGACAGCATGCACACATCTCTCGAGGGCTCTTCAGCATGGGCGGTGTCCGGAGCATAAAGCGACGACCCTTAACGAGATCGTGATTCCTGATGTCTTGGTCTGTAGAGTTTGTGGCTCAACATCCCTGAGCATTCACGAAAACAATCTTCACGCTCGGACGCACCTCACTCACGCTCCTGTCATACACCATGGACGAGCTCTTCGGCGACGAGGAGATGCCGCCATGGGTTGGGATCCAGATCGCGCCAGTAACGCCAGGAGTCAAACGAGGTGCAGAAGAAGGTTCAGATTCACAGCCCGACGCGAAGTCCGCCAACACGGGCCGAGGAAAAGGCGACGACAACCTCGTGACGAAGATCGCCCTCCTGTCCCTGGCTACGGCTCGCGAGCAGGCCTTGCTCTCCGCCGTCGTGCTGTCGACCTTCCTGGTCTCGAAGGAGAGCTACCTCGCCGTGGGCAGACTCGCGGCCAACAAAGTCTACTCCGACGGAGTGTAGCAGCTCCACGAGAAGAAGAAGAAGAAGAAGAAGAAGAAGAAGGCGGGGGAGGACGTGGATCTGAGCGCGCCAGGGCCGCCGTTCATCACAGTGTTCTTCCTCGCGATTCGTGCGGTGATGAAGTCAGCGCCAGAGCCAATACGCAACAAAGCCAAGGAGTTTCACGACACACATGTCAAGGAGAAGAACTCGCAGTACATTGCCTCGCTCATCAGGCACTTCTCTATTCGAGCGCCAAGAGGGCCAGGCTCGAAGAGAATGGAGGGCAAAGTTCGGCTGCAGTTCTCGATGGGCCCGAACCCGAGCTCGGCGGCGGTGGTGAAGCTGCTCGATCTCATTCTCCTGGACTTGTAAGCCATCCAGCTGATTGGCATGTTTGACCCGTTGTTGCTCTAGCGGTATGCCTTGTGGCGAAGGGCCCGCTCGAGCGCCAGGTCGGCAGCTTGCTCGAGAGGGAAGGCCAGAAGGGAAGCTCGTGCCGCCTCCTGCCTCCGCCACCGGCGCTCGCTTCCGAGAGCTGGCCTCACGTGGGGCCATCAGTCAGAGCTCTGTTGCTGGGAATTTCTTAGTGCCACTTTCGGAGAGAGGGAAGGGGGGGAGTCGTCGTCGTGAGAGCGGGGGGCGGGGTCGAGGGAAGGGTAAGTATGCCTGAGAGTGCTGCTAGTGCCAGCGGGGTCGCTGCGGGGCCGTTCCCCGCCACGGCGTTCCTCTCGGCCTGGCGGTTATGTGGCCGCCGCAGGGCCACGATTCAAAGGAGTTTGAGAGGTTGGCTGTAAGCCGCATAGGGTCGGAGATTATATACGGACGCTTAGTCCCCTTCATATCCTGCTGTGTCTTCAGGTCTGGCGTTAAGCGTCGAGGCTACTGTGCAGCGAAACTGCGAAGACGGAGTTCATCGACCCCAATTGCTTTCGTATCGTATCGTATCCTCCCCCTCCTTTCCTTCCTCCTCCTAGTCCTCCTCGTCCCCGTCCTCGTCCTCCTCATCCTCCTCGTCCTCCTCGTCCTCCTCGTCCGCCGCGTCCTCCTCGTCCGCCGCGTCCTCCTCCTCCTCCTCCTCGTCCTCCTCCTCCTCCTCCTCTTCCTCCTCCTCATCGTCCTCGTCCTCCTCCTCCTCTTCCTCCTCCTCCTGCTCCTCCCATCTCCCCTCCTTCCCTCCCTCCTTCCCTTCCTCCCTCCCTCCCTCCCTCCGTTTCATCGCCCTCCCTCACCCTCGCCCTCCCCGACCCTCTGCCTTGTTCCCCTCCTTCTCCTCCTCCTGCTCCTCCTCCTGCTCCTCCTTCTGCTCCTCCTCCTGCTCCTCCTCCTCCTCCCTCCCTCCTCCTCCTCCTCCTCCTCCTCCTCCTCCTCCTCCTCCTCACGGGCAACACGAGACTGCCCTGCTTGGCGTCCACGGACCTCCTGCCCCCAGCCCCTCTCGCCAGGGCTGCGCATGTTTCCACGCTGGGCCCCGGGACCATCAACGAGAACTTGCGACGAAATGCCGGCCAACCTCCTCCTCCTCCCTCCTCCTCCTCATCCTCCTCCTCCTCCTCCTCCTCCGTCTCCCTGATAAACTGCACCCCCCTGTCGCACCACGGACCGTGTCCGTAGGCCAGGCCGGGTGTTTCGTGTGAGACGTCCTTGTAACTTTCCATCCCGAAGCCCGCAACATTTGTTTGGATAGATGGCATGTGGCTGCAAAAGCGGCTCACGCCGTGGTGCCGCACACGCTCACTCGGAACAACTTTCAACAGTTACAAGGATGAAGGGCAGGTCGCTTCCCAAACGTGGCTCTCGCTTCAGCGCCGCGCTTAATCGTTGAACACATTTCCAACAGCTACAAAGATGGAGGCCAGAGGTCGGCTCCTTTTCAACCTTGGGCTCCTGTTCAAGACTCTCTCAACTTTGCTCCCGCAGTTGTTGACAACCGTGAAGCAGCCGCTTCACGGATCGAAAGCCATCTCGTTCTGGACCTCATGCTCTCGCCGAGAACAGCCCGCCAGGTGCCGCGACTGGAGCACGCAGGGTGTGCAACACCTGCACGCGTGAGCGCCCGCGTGTGCTCAAACACGGGTCTCTTGCTGGACGCGCCCTCGCCCTGCGTGGCTCTGCCTCTCTGCAACTCCTACAGGCCGAGAGGATGCACGGTTGGTAACCTACGACACGGCCCTCGCCCGAATGGCCGGCCACCGGGGCGCTCGTTGGTGAAGGGGGACGCCTCCCGCACTGCAGCGGGCCGGGAGAGGAACACATGGAGTGACCTGGGAGGCTGGGACGGGAGGGTCTGATGCAGCCTGGTTGCCGCATCGTGGATTTCCTTGGGTCGCTCCTCCGCCTCCTCCTCCACATGATCCTCCTCATGTCCTCCTCCTCCTCCTGGCTTCTCCTGGCTCTTCTCCTCTTCTGGCTTCTACTCCTCCTCCTCCTCCTCCTCCTCCTCCTCCTCCTCAACCTCCTCCTCCTCTTCCTCCTCCTCCTCCTCCTCCTCCTCCTACATCTCTCCTATACCTATTTCCACAGATCCAGGTTTTTGGCTCTCCTGGCCTCAGGATGCCTTCAGAGGCCTGCGAGGATGCGCTCCCCTGGGACCGCACTAGGGCACCCTCCAAGACTGCGCCACCACTTCCCGATGCACATGCTGAACCACTGCTTTCGGTGTCGTGGTACCTGCAGCCCAGAGATGCGAATTAGCATCCGCCGACGCGGTGCCACGCGATAGTGAGGGGGGGGCGACAAGGAGGTACTTGCTCAGGGGTGGAACACCGAACTGGGACCGGCGGCATATGGCTGCTAGATCGGCGAGGCACCCCGAGCAGCAAAACCTGGAACTCCCTGAAGACCTCCGGAAGCACCTGCAGAGGGTGATCTCTTAGAGGCTTCCAGCAGCACCCCAAAGGGACAAACCGCTGCAACACATGGAAACTGACAAACAGCATTACGGTGTGCCGTTGGATCAGGAACCCTCGGATAGGGAGTCCAGGGTCTGGAGGCCGGTGGAACTCCAATCGAAGCTTGGCCATGGATACCACCGCCGCCCTCATCAGATGAGGCATCCTCCAGGGTCTGCAACCTCCCAGGCGCATTCCTTCACCAACGCCCCCACCGTAGTCGGGCGCACGCTGGCGTCGATGAAGGATCCCTGGATCTCGCGCGCAGGGGCCAAGATCCACGGTCAGGGCAGGGGGCCACATGCGAGCCCAACCCCTGCCCCCCAACGATTTCTGGAGGGGAGGGTGGGGTTCACTTCGTTCGGGAGCTCACGAGCGAAGTGAACCCCACCCTCCCCCAACAAAAATCGTGGGGGGTAGGGGTAGGGGGAGGAGGCGGAGGAGGAGGAGGAGAAGGAGGAGGAGGAGGAGGAGGGGGGATGAGGAGGAGGAGGAAGATAGGGTTCGCATGTGGCCCCCTACAGGGGAAAAAAGACCCCCCGACCCATGCAGCCGCTGCCGCGCCCGACGTGGCGAGGGGGAGCGCTCTCCGACCCCGCAGTGGAAGCGGCGCCCCCTTGGGCGCCCCTCGGCCAACCCTGCGGCCGGAACGTCTGCCCCGCGTGTCGCGGCGGCGGCCCCGTGCGACACGCGGTGCCCTGCAAGCTGATACTTGCCGTCGCTCGGACGTCCATGTCGCGTGCATTTTTTTCGGTTTCGTGCGTGTGTTTTTTTCTGCTCGATGGTCCAGGAGGGTCCTCGATGGTTCTCGCCGAGACAAAATGCACACGTCCGAGCGATGCCAAGGATACAGGCGCCGGACCACACCAGCGAACACTCCTGCCACACTACACTCCTCGGCCAGCGCCTCCCCCTCCCCCCAAAGTTCAGAGATGGCGGTGGGCCTGAGGAGTTGCACCTCGACCACAGTCTTCAGTGGTCTCCCCCGCCCGTGCCAACTTTGAGCTTGGGGGGAGGAGGAGGAGGAGGAGGAGGAGGAGGAGGAGGAGGAGGAGGCGCAGGAGAAGGAGGAGGAGGAGGAGGAGGAGGAGGAGGAGGAGCGAGGAGGAGGAGGAGCGAGGAGCGAGGAGGAGGAGGAGCGAGGAGCGAGGAGCGAGGAGGAGGAGGAGGAGCGAGGAGGTCTTGGAATAGCGAGGAAGGGCTCAGTAACTGTTTCCCTCTGCCGCAGCGTGTCGCTCCGCTCCGCGAGGCGGGCTACCAGAAGAGGCTCCGGGCGTCGACGCTCGGGGGCCGGGGCGTGGATCATCATCGTCGCGCCGAAGCGGGCCAGGGCCGGCGGAGCGACACGCTAAGCTTGGGTCGGGCATGCCCCCCTACAGGCGGAGTCTGGACGAAAAATGAAGCATGTCTTAAAGATGCTCCAGCACGATCAAGCAATAGTGGAAGAGTCGTCCACATACTATTGTTTGTCTATTCTTGGATATTCCTCCTGTAGTGGGACACGCCCGACTTTAATCAGCATTCAGATTGAGTTTCGGAGGTCCGCGCGGACTTCTTGGATCTGTGCTGGACCCCCCCTGGCGCGCGAAGCGCGCCAGGGGCGGCGCTGGAGGCACGGCCAAGGGGCCTAACGCCGACCCAAGACATCCGCGCGGATCTCCGACAATTGGTGCTCACACCACACGTCATCCGAGAGCATACGTTCCTGACCGCAGTCGGCTACACGCAAAGATTGGCCCCAGGCAAGAGTGACCCTTGGTGCGCGGCTTAACGGGGGTCGGGGATCTACTGACCTGGGCCAATCCAGACATCTTGCAAGATCCTGCAGGACCCTGCAAGATCCTGCACCCACACCTGGGTCAGTGCAGCCCTGGCCCTATAGGATCCTGCAAGATCGGGCGCCCTGGCTGACCCCCGCCTGCAGTGACCCCTGTCTTTTGAGCCGCTCACCGATCGGGGGGCCCCGCGGGGCCCGCACCGACGGTCACTCTGGCGAAGGGTCACCCTCCCAGACATGCGACGCCCTGACTCTTGTCAGGACGGCACCCCCGCAAGTCCTGACCCATTCCCCAGGACCGGTTTTTCGCCCTGGGTCGTTCTGTGACGGTCCCGGGGCCCAGCGAGGGCCCCTGGATGCCGAAAGAACTGCGAACAGCCTCCGTCTTGCTTTTTGTTTTCCGATGCGCTCTGGATCTCTGGGCTGGCGTCCAGTCCAGCGCCGCCCGCCCCTTCGCCCCCCGCCCCCGCAAAAGAGAAGCCGCGCGGCCGCGGGTGCCGAAGATGCGGCCGCCGCGCGGCGCAGGGCGGCCGAGCGATGGGGCCCCCCTGGGGCGCGAGGCGCTCGCGCTGCGGAGGCGCCGCAGGGGCAGCGAGGCGCCCGAGGGGATCACAGCGAGGGAGGCTTCGCGTGTGGGGTCCGAGCAGGCTGGGCCGGGGGGTCGCGCCGCATCGCGGCTCCTCCTCCTCCTCCTCCTCCTCCTCCTCCTCCTCCTCCTCCTCCTCCTATTCCTCCTCCTCCTCCTCCTCCTCCTCCTCCTCCTCCTCCTCCTCCTCCTCTCCGATGCTTCGGCGATGCATCGGCGGCGTCGGCAGGGCATCGGCGACAGCGGTTGCGAGGAAGCCTTGTTCTGCATCGAGAAGCGCCGCCGACGCATCGACGATGCGGCGCGATCCTCCGTCCCATCCGCTCCGCCCACATCGGGGGGGGCCCAGAACTGTTCGGGTGCTGCCAACAGCGCCCGTGGCCCAGTGTGCCCCCCAGGATCTCCAAGGAGGCCCCCGCGGCCCCCAGAGCACCCCCTGGCGAGGCCCGGCTGGCCCCAGGGGCTCCGACATGGAGCGGGGACCTGGGCGCCGTTAGGTTTATGTTGCTCCCATCGTTGTCAAGGACCGAAGCCCCCCCTTGAAAAAAAACTCGGGCACCCAGAATAATACCGAAGCAGTGTCGAACAAGAATCGCCTCCCAGAGCCCGACACGTGAGAGTCCTCCAATTTCGGTGCCTCCATGGTGTTCGAACGTATTTCTGGTGATTCAGGCTAAAGTAAGTTGGGACATCATAAACCTAGGTCCAGGAACACCGTGAGGAACCCCCGAGCAGTGGCGAAGCGCAGCGGGGTTGAGGCACCCGGGGGGCGTGCCAGAAAACTAAGCCGTCCGACGTCGGCCGTCGCGCCCCGCGGTGAACGACGCGCGGTCATCTTGGCGCCCTCGCGCTCTCTCGCCGCGCCTCGTGGAGAAGGGTTTTCCAAAACGTGACGCGCGAAGCGCGAAGAACCATCTTCGCGCCCCGCCGGGCGGCCGAAAGAAAAGGGCGGAAAGCCCACCCCTCCCCGCGCATCTCTCGACGGGGAATGCGATGGGGGAGAGAGCGCGAGCGAGGAGGGAGGAATCGTGCGAGAAGCAGGGCGATGGAGGATGTGATGAGGGAGGAAAGCGCGAAATTGGGGAAAAGGGGGCACATGGGACAGGACGGAAGAAGGGGAGGGCAGGGGGCAGGAAAAAACGGGACAGAGACGGGGGCGAAAAGGGGCCGAAGGGCGGGACGGGGCACGGGGGAACTGGAGGGACACGGGGGGCGGCCGAGAGGGGATGAAGGACAGGGAAAGGGGACCGGACATTTTTGCCGCGGACGATTGCGCGAACGGCTGCGACGCGGCGCGCGCGCAGGCCCTGGGAGAAGAAAAATGGAGGACAAAACAGAAACTGATGACCTGCTGGCCCTGCAGCGCCGCGGCGAAGGGCCACGCCGGCTGAGGAACATGAAGAAAACGTCAAAATAGATGATCCAGCTCGCGGTGTGGTTCGCGGCGCAACAGCATTCAAGACGCCGGAGACCTCTGGCAGCAGCCCGTTCTTCGTCGTCTTGTCATCCACCATCGACGTGAGCCTGCTCTGCACTGCTAGCTCGTCTGGCCCGACAGCTACTCCATAACGCAGGAGACCTCATGAAAAACCTTTTCAGAAGATGCACCCACGCCATCGATGAAAGTCCCAACGCATTTGCAAGCATCACCGTTCTGAACAACACCATCGTGCGCAAAACAACAGCACCCTCACCAGGCACTTCCTCGTGTCCAGTTTGCAATCCACGTTCATGTGACGCCTCGCTACCAGCGTCCAGCTTGCCCAAGAAGGAAGCTTTCCTGGTGAATATTGTCGCCTTTGCCAACAGACGCTGGCGCAACCATGTCCCGCTCCAATTCAAAAACTCCAAAAAACGCCAACCATCGCGATAACGAGCTTTGCACCCCTGACTCTTCAGCCTGCGCCTCTCCTTCCGTTCGGCGTCCAGCAGCTCCTTGCGGTCGTTCACCAGCTTGCCCGTGGCGGAACAGGTGCTCGCGGAAGCGGCAACGTTCGCCTTGTCTTCCTCCGAGTGCTCCTGCGTGTCTCGAGCGCATTGGTCCTCCATCGCTGCCCAGGAAGTTCCTGCAACTCCATGGGCGTCGGTGAAGGGACCCACGGACACACACACACACACACACACACACACATAAGTACACACAAATAAATGGATTCCCGATATGTGTTCCCATACATCGGCGCTCCGAAAGTTTATTCCGATTTGAGAGGCACAGCGCCGCACGAATGCAGCGCAAACGCAATGCTGCAAGGGCGCGACAATGCTTGCCCCGTGGACGCGCGAGAGCAGCCGCGCCCCCGCGCGAACCCCGATCCCGCGCGGGGCGCGCTCCCGTTGACAATGGCTCACCCGGGATAGTTTCTTGCGCAGGAAGTCCTGAAAGCTCTGCCCATCGGCGGCTCCTTAGGGCGAGGCCCGGAACCACCGAGAAGCCGTTTTTGATAGGAAGTTTTAAACGGTTTACCCATGCTCGGTTTCTTCGGAGCGGGCCCGAAGAACTCGATAACGATGTTTTTGCAAGGGATCCTAAGCGGTTTGCGTATTTTCGGGTCGTTCGAACCGGACCCGGATTTGTTTTGGCATAACTCCTCTGGAATTTGGCCACTTTCAGATCGGCCGATAAACTTTTCGGGTCGGTGCATGACCGAACCCGAAAGCTTCTTTCGAGGAGGTCCTATGCCGTTTGCTCATTTTATGGTCAGCGCACGGTTTGGGATTTTAAAATTTAAATCGGGAAGGGGACCCCGATCCCGCGACCCCGGGCGGGGGTTCGGCTCTGCCCTTGCATTTGTACTGGGCCCCTCCGGCCAAACGGGGCGCTGGGCTGCCCATCGGCGCCCCGACTCCACCCTCGCGACATCGCCACCATCTGCCCTCAGGCCCCGCGAGTCTTGTCCCGCGCGCGCCACCCCAGATGGCCGCGGCCGGCACGGTGGCGAAATTGGGGAAAAACTTTCGGATCGGCGCAGTATTTTCTGGGTTTCTGTTCCCCCCCCTTTCCAATATTTTACCATATTTTCCTGGGAATCGACGATCAATTGTGTCTGTGCGTTTGTTTCCCTCCTGAAGCTCCCGCAGCTCCAGGGACATCGGCCTGGGCGGGTGCAGCGGCGCCGTCGCCCGCGTGATCGACGCCGGGAGCACCGGCCGCGGGTGCGGCCTGGAGCAACCTTGAGGATGCCATCGCTGGCACGGGCAATAAGCGCCTGGCAATCTGCCGCCGGAGCAGCGCAGGGAGGAGGGGCGAGGAAGAGAAGGAAGCGGAGGGAGGGTGCAGCAGGAGAGGAGAGAGGAGGGTGAGAAGGGTCGGATCGAAAACTTCACTGCGCGGGCCGATGAAGTCGTACCCAAAGATATTGAAACTTCGAAGTCGAAACTAGAGGCTATTTGTGATGCATCTTCGGGGGATCTTGTCTGTCCCATCGCGCCCATGTCCGCGTCGAATCCGTGCCGAAACCATGCTGGACTACTCGAGACCGCGTCGAATCCACGTCGAATCCACGCCAAATCAGCGTCCAGCCCGCGCCGGGCACAAGGCAAGACACTGATTTTTGGGACAGGCGCAGTCCCTTCCGAAGATGCAACGTGACGATGCCAAAAGGACCGAAAGGAACCCCCGGAGGGGGGAGCACCGCTTCAGAGGGGTGCCGCGGTTGTGCCCGACGCCAACCAGGTGGTGCCGAGGATCGTGCGCTCTCTGTCGGACTAGGATGGCACCGACTGTACACCTGCACCAACTTTGCCCAGGCCCCTCCTGGGCACAGGATCGGTGTATATGCCCTCCAGGAAGCGGCCCCAAAAACCTCCAAGAGAACCCCAGTACGGCACAATAGAGTCCCAAGACGGCCAGAGAGGGCTCCGACAGGATCCCCCCAAACCCCCAGGACGGCCAAGAGCGGCCCAAGACTGCCTAAGAGGGCCTCAGACAGCCCAAGAGGACCCACTAATCCGGGAAAAACCCTACAAGAGGGCGCCCCAAATGGCTCCCAATAAGCTGGCGAAGTGCCTGGCCCGCCCTACCCACACGTCTGGTGGCCAGACGAAGCGTCAAATGTAAGGAAAAGCAGTGGAGGAATGCCGAGGAATGCGGAAGAGGAGGAGGAGGAGGAGGAGGAGGAGGAGGAGGAGGAGGAGGAGGAGGAGGAGGAGGAGGATAAAGAGGCCCCAGGACACACAAATAAATACACACAAATAAAACGATTCCCCATATTTTCCCATATTTTCTGGGTTTTTGTCTTTCCCCCCACTTCCCATATTTTCCCATATTTTCTGGGGAATGGACGATTAATTGTGTCTGTGTTTTTTTTGTTCCCCCTCCTGAGAGGAGAAGGAGGAGGAGGAAACGTCTCGACGCGGCGCAATACAAGTCACCGAGGTCTGAGCGCATGCGTAACCCCGAACGTTGAGCGGGCCCCGACAAGCAGTTTACGTCGGAAGACCAAGCAACACCACAGGAACAACCCGATGAAGTGTCCAGCCCTCCTCTGGGGCAAACTCAAGACTTCCTGCAGGGCGTGCGCGGCACCATTCTCCTCTGGTTGAAGCGGTTGCGCCCTCCCTACACACAAGCGATTGCCAATGTAGGGATGCTCGCCTCGGCGGGGTTCCATTGCTGGGAGGATGGTGAAAAATGGAGGAGGAGGAGGAGGAGGAGGAGGAGGAGGCGGATAAGGAGACCGAGAGAGGAAAAGGAGGCGTAGGATAGAGGAGGACGAAGGAAAAGGGAAGGAGGAACAACAATGACAGACTAGGAATGACGGATGACGATGATGCGGATGCGGGTGTTGATGACGGTGGTGGCGATGATGGCGATCGGGGGCCAGTCCCGCCTGTCCCGCAGGCTCCAGTTTCACCCACGGCCCAGACGGGAGCCTGGGGACCCCACGAGCCGCGCCTTGCTAAGCTTCTTGGGCCCCTGGACGTATTCTCTGAACTCCTCGACGCCGGCCGCCCCGCAGCGGGGCCAGGCGCGGGGCCGCCCAAAATCCGAGGCGGCCGCTCGGCTCCGCACGGCCTGCACGTGGCCCGCGGTGCCCGCCGTGCCCGAGCGGGTGCGGGCCGCCCCGCGGGCACCGCCGCGGCCGCCGCCGCCGCGAGCCGCCGGCCACCCCGAGGAAGAGCCGCGGCGGCTGTCCGGGAGGCTGGCGCCCTCCGCCGGCCACTCCTGGAGCCCGTCGCCCTTCTCGGCCGCCTACGCCGCCCGCGGCAGCCGCGCGGCCGCTGGAGGTCGCGGCGCGCGCGGCGGTGCCGCGCTGCCCCGCGCACCGCCGTGGCGCTCGTCTCCGCGCGGGGGGCATGCCTGACCGGCGCACCCAAGGTCTTCGAGCCCAAACTGGGCTCGTGATAATGAGGATGATGATGATGATGATGATGATGATGATGATGATGATGATGATGATGATGATGATGATGATGATGATGCTGATGCTGATGCTGATGGTGATGATAATGATGATGATGATGATGATGATGATGATGATGATGATAATGATGATGATGATGCTGCTGCTGCTGCTGATGATGATGATGATGATGATGATGCTGACGATGGTGCTGATGATGATGCTGCTGCTGCTGATGACGATGATGATGATAAAAAGGAGGAGGAGGAGAAGGACGAGGGGGAGGAGGACGTTGGACGGAAGGAGGGCAGTGAGACCTCCCGAGCAGCATGCGCCGCTGAACGCCGCGGTCCCCGCGCGCAGTCGCGCGAGCACAAAAAACGGCCACGCGGCTCGGGAGCGGAGGACGGCCCATCGAGACCACGGCGGCTCTCCCGCCGAGCCCAGCTTGCGCCCGCCGTCCTCCGTCTTTCCTCGTCGTCGTCGTCGTCTTGGCGTCGTCGTCGTTTCCGTCGTCGCTGTCGCCGTGGTCGTCCTTCCCCTTCCCTCGACGTCGTCGTCCGTCGTCGGCGTGCTCGCTCGACCCCGACGCCTCCCGAAGCGCGTCCGAGGTTCGCCCTGCGGCGCGGAGATCCCGGCCGCTGGCGGCGACGGGCCTCCGGGGTCTGCGGCCGCCCGGCACGGGTGCAGAGAGAGCACGGGTGCTCGAGCAGGGACCGACCGTCCCGGCACTCCTATAGTCCTACCATGATGGCGAGAAAAAAAAACTCCCGCCGTGATTGTTGTTCCTTGCTCGAAGGGGCCTGGGTCCTCCTCCTCCTCCTCCTTCTCGTCCTCCTCCTCCTCCTCCTCAGAACAAATGTTTTTCGAACAGCAGCCCGATGTGATCAAACCAGGCAGACACCGCCAGAACTGTTCTAAGAACATTCCGTGGAAACCGCAAAAGGCTCTTAGAACATGGTTTGGTACGGCTATAGGCGAGCCAGGACGCTTCGCCACTGCTTGAGGATGCGCTGCCCAACGACACGTGTGGCCCAAAACCGACAGCGGCCACCCTGCCTCAAACGAACTGACCACCTGCCAGACCACCCCACCCGAGTTTGACCCGAATTTCGCGTGGGGGTGGGGACGGGTTCCATCTGTTGTTTCAATGTTCCCCGAACCCCCCCCCACTAGAAATGGAGAGCAAGTTGAGGCCTTCGGGTTGGGCTGGGGTGGTTCGGTAGGTGGTGGCGAACAGCGTCCGGGGCGACACCGACAGCGACGCCTGTCGAAAAAACATAGACAGGAACTGCTGCCGGCCTCCGGCGCCATCCTGTCTGCGCCCACTTCGGGATGTGAGGTCCGAGCCCCGTCCCCACCGACCATCGACTCTCCTGAGTCGATGGGAGGCGGGGAAGGGTCCAGATTTCGCCACCCTTCGACGAATCCTGAGCCCCACCCGCACCGCCCCCGCCGCTCTTGCAATCGCTCGAACGTCCATTCCCCGTGCATTTTTCGGCTTCGTGTGTGGTGTGTGTGTGTGGTGTGTGTGTGTGTGTGTGTGTGTGTGTGTGTGTGTGTGTGTGTGTGTGTGTGTTTTTGGCTCGATAAGCAAGGATGCTCCTCGATGATCCTTGCCGAAGAAAAATGCACACGACCGAGCGATGCCAAGAGTTGCCCGCGTCGAGCATCGGCGAGGGTTGGGTTCGGATGTCGCCACAGACGGTCTGGTTCTCCAGGCGGGAGGCCCGAACTGGGCGGGAAACAGGCTGGGGAAGGCCCTCCGCCGTCTCGTCGACTGGGCCCTCTTCCGACCAGAGTGAGGTCAGGCATGTCCCCCCACAGGCGGACAATGGGAGCAGAATAGAAATACTGAAGAGATGATCGGAAGCATGTGCAAACACAGTCGCGAACATCGTCCCCAGACGATGTTTCTGCTACTTTTGATCTTTCTCGGCTATTATCAAGAGTGACCCTGGGTAAGAGTGACCTTTGGTGCCTGACTTTTTGGGGGCCGCGGGGGGACCAAACCTGGGCGCGCAAGCCGCTGCTGCTGCTTCGTTTTCAGCCCTCTGGGGACCCATCTGTGCCCGCACCAAAGGTCACTCCGGCGAAAGGTCACTCTTACGTCTAGTCCTGAGCATTTTCCTAAGGTGGAGGGCTCAGGGTGAAATCCGTAATTATGGGCTTTTGCACCTCGAGAACCAATCCGTCTTGTCATTCACCTTTTGCGAATTCAAACCTGGAACACCCATCGAAACGGCACTCCAGACTTCACCCTTTGCCCTCCACCCAAAAAAAATGCTCGGTAGTTCTGGACGCCCGAAATGGGTACGGAAAGAATGGGTACAATGCCCAGCAACAAATGTTGTCCCAAACCGACAGCGGCCGCCGTTGGGCAGGCGGCCCTCTGTCCCAAATGGACACAGGCCGCGGCTGCGCGGACAGCGAGTCCTGCTCAAAATGAGCAGGAACTGCTGTTGGGCATTGTGCCCATTCTTCCTGTACCCATCTCGTGCGTGCAGACCGGCAATCGAGAAAATCAGTCCGTCTTGTAATTCACCTTCTGCGAGTTCAGACCTGGAACGCCCATCGAAACGGCATTTCAGACTTCACCCTCTGCCCTCCACCCGAAAAGAAATGCTCGGTAGTCGACTTCTCCTCCTGCAGAGGACATGCCCGGCAAGAGAGAGCGGAGGCGGCGGGCGCCCCGACAGAGAGCGGCAGACGCCCTGCGCACAGAGACCTTCACGCCGTGGGCCTCGGCGGCGGGCGGCGGCGGCGCCGGGCGCGGCGCGGCAGGGCCGGGGAGGGGGAGGAGGAACAGCGCAGGAAGGGGGGAGAGGAGAGGAAGGCGGAGGAGGAGGAGGAGGAGGACGAGGAGGAGGAAGAGGAGGAAGGAGGAGAGGAAGGAGGAGGAGGAGGAGGAGGAGGACTTGGAATGATTAGGGGAGCAAAAAGTGGCATAAACATAAAAACTCAGAGGTCCGCGCGGACTTCTCGGATCTGCGCTGGACCCCCCTCCCTGGCCCGCGGAGCGCGCCAGGGGCGGCGCCGGAGGCGCCGCCAGGGGGCCCCAGCGCCGATCCGAGAAATCCGCGCGGACCTCCGAGTTCTTATGTTTATGCCACTTTTTGTGCCCCTAATGAGATGGCACCTTGACCCCGTACCACTCGACGTGAGGGTACACGTGGGCTTGTGTGCCCACTGTAACCTCCGCGGGCACAAATTTGCCCTCACTGCGAGGGGGTAGGTGCCCGTGCCTCCCCATCGAACGGTTCCACGATGCAGCATCGTTCCGCCCTCGTGACGGCGACGGTCTACCGCCGCATGCCCATCGGCAGGGGCGGCCAGCTTAGTTCATTGCGCGGTGGGTCATGTTGTGAAGAATGTAGCCTCACTGCCCCTCTGCCGCGCCTGAAGCATGCTAAGCCATGTTGCCGAAGTGTTGTCCGATGAGCGTGGCCGAGGTACTACGCTCTAGGGGGCACGAGTTGTCCGCCACCTGCTGTGCTGATTGGCGAAGAGCCGCCCTGATTTCCGCCCCGAGTCGCGCGGAATTTGGCTTCTAGCATCATGCGGGTCACTCGAAATACCGCGAGCCTACGTCATCGCCCCCTACAAAGGGTCGTCCCATGTCGCACGGGACTTGGCTAGTGGCGTGCGGGTCGCCCGCAGCGCAGCGAACTCACGCCTTGGCCTATGCGGCGCCGTCCCGTGTCACACGGGCCTCGGCTGGTGGCATGAAGGTCATCCGCGCCTCAGCTGACCTACGCCTCGACCCAAATGGAGTCGCTCCTGCGTCGCACGGGGCCCAAGTAGCGGAATGCGGGTCGCCCGTAGCCCGCGAACCCCTAACCGTACGGCACCGCTCCGCGTCACGCGGGACTCCGCTGGCGGCCCTCGAGTCACCTGCAATCCGCCAACCTACGACCGTGCCCCGTACCATACGGGGATCTACAACTGGTGTGATACGTTGCACGCGCATGTCTGGAACAACTTGCACGCACGGCGCCTCGCAAACATCACCGTGCGGAGACTATCCGCCTTCCGGGGTCCTGTACAAGACGAGCCACCGGACACTTTAATGCAAATGCGTTGGTGGAGCAGTGGCACGCACACCTACCCAGGATTCATGGGCTGCTGAGAAGCATGCCGCGCGTGGTGCTTCGGGATGTTCGTGCGAGGCAGCGCCTCGGGAATTCCAGGGGGGGTCCACTTAACAAAATGGGGTCCCCCCCGATTGAGCATCCGCTTGGAAACGCTCTTCCGTGACCGTGCCGAGCGTGAGGGACGATTAACAAAATGGGTTCCCCCCGCTCGAAGGAGGGGGAGGCAACTTTGTTAACATCTCTCTCGCGTCTCTGTGAATTCCACTGGCCCCCAGAACCATTTGTTTCACACGCGCACTCACTCGACATGCCTACCTGCATTCTCACCTGCCTGCCTGTCCCACGCATCGTGTCGCTCATACCCAACATCGTGGGGGATTCGCTACACCTCGGGGCACAACCAACTCCGCAAGCGGAGAGGTGGCTTAATGAATTGGCCTCGCTGGGTCCCCGTGGCCTCTCGACTGAGATTTGATGAAGGGCGCAACAATTTTTCTTGGCGGGAGCAGGAGGAGGAAGCGGAGGCGGAGGCGCAGGCGGAGGCAGATGAGGAGGAGGAACCTGAGGAGAAACGATGAGAAGTAAAGGGGGTGGATCGACCATCTCGCTGCACGAGCAAGGGTCATGTCTAAGGAAGTGAAACTGAGAGACCGATGCGAAAAAGACTCCTTGCCGTTGCTCAGACACCTATTATCCGTGCATTGGTTGGTTTATTGCAACTGTTTTTGTTCCCCGCAAATGCTCCAAGATGCGCCAAAATTCGGCGGCTAGCCTGGGCGGCCCTTTGGCCTTCAGAGGAGTTGTCAGCATTTGCGGGGGAAGCTTCGACAACTTCTCGGGAGGCATGAGGCCTCCCAACCCTTCTAAGAAACCACGACCACGACCACTCCCACGCCCGCGCCCGCGCTCGCGCGCCCGCGCCCACGCCCGCGCCCGCGCCCATCCCCACCCCCACCCAGAGATCCGATGTCGTGCTTCTTTCAATACGGGGTCCCAGGAAACCTCGACCCATTCCCCTGGGACCAATTGTTTTTCATCCTGAATCGTTCTTCGACGGTCCCAGGGCCCCTGTAGGCCGAAAAATATGCAGCACTTCCGTTCTGATTCTTTCAGTGCGCTGGATCTCTGGGCATCCCCGCACCCCCCCCCCCCGCGCCCACCGCCCCTTCGCGCGCGCCGCCGACAGATGTAAGGGACCGGACTCTATACACCGACGTTCTCTACGGCCCCGCACTGAAACCCGCACAACAAAGCGGATCCTGGTGCATGCGGGATCCTGGTGTATACATTCTTCGTTGTTTCCCCTGGGACATCGGGGAAATGAGTATGCACCACGCCACCCCCGTCCCCGATTCTCCAAAAAGTCCTCGGATTGAAAAGCCGCCCGCCACTGGGAATGTATAGGTTCCAGTTTCCGAAGATGCGCCCGGACAGAACACCTGGGCGGCACAAACCGAAAGGAGGTGCCCAAGGTGCCTTCGTGAATTCGCATGCAGTCGGACCTCGCGACACGAACGGCGGCACAGACCCGCCCCGGGCGTCACATCTGCGCCGCCGTGGCGAGGCGCCCCGAGATGCCACCCCGCGACGCGGCCATCTTCTGGCGCTGCCCTCGCCGACCCCCGAAAAAATATACGCGCGTCCGAGCGATGCCCAAAAGGCACGGGCCCCGCCGCGCGCGCGCGGGGGCGGCGCCCCCGGGGGCACGGGCGGCCTCTGAGCCGCGCGGCGCCCGTGCCCTGCCGTCGGGCGCGGTGCGGCGTCGGAGGCCCGCCGGCGCTCGGACGCCCATTCCCCGCGCACGGCTCCGTTTCCCGCGTCGGGCATGTCCCTCGACAGGAGGAAAAGTCGAGCAGAGTCATAAAAGGGCGCGGGGATGACTTTTCGCCAACTGTTTTGTCTGAGCGTGTTTCTTCTATTTCTCATGTTGTTATCATATTCAGCCTGTAGGAGGACGCGCCCGACCTAGCACCATGGGGCACAATGGGGCACGATGGGGCACACTTTCTGGCGCGGTTTGCCTCCGGTGCGGGGCCTGCCCATCGCCGACTGCGATGCGAAATTGGAGACTTCGAAATGGACGCCGACACCAACGCAGTCACGTACCTTCGTCTCTATCAGCGGGGTGAAATGACCGAAGCTGCGCCCGAACATATGACCGAGAAATTCTTGATTCGGATCCACAGCGAAATTCACTTTCGGTTTATAATTTCGATTGCGCGCGCGTTTTCCGCCACAACTTCGGGCACGTGTTCGGTCAGACTGTTGTGCTTCGGCCAGCGACCTTTCCGGCGGATCGGGCCAGGCGCCATGGACATATGGGTTTGCCTTCACCTGGGGAAGGTAATCCTAGACTTGGGCATTGGTGGCAACATCTCGGCCACCTGGGGGGCCCTGGTCTTCCTCCTCCTCCTGCTCCTCCTCCTTCTCCTCCTCCTCCGCACAGCGCCGATGCTGGTGTTGGTGCCAACCTCTGGGCCCCCGACGACAGTGCCTGCCTGCACCTGTGGATTTGGCCCCCATCGCTCACGTCGCTGCGAGAAACGACCGTGCCGAGGGGCGAGCGTTGGGCGCGCGCGAGTTCGTGGCCGGACCGGTCACTAGCGGGGATCTCGCCACCAATCGCCGCCATGACACCGCTGATTCGAGACGGAAGACACCGCGCGCGATCCTCGCGCACGCCGAAGATGGGCGCTCCCCTGGAAGAAAGGAAGACCCCGTGCGGAAGCAGGCTGGAAGAGATCGACTCGCAAACTGCCCACGAGGAAAGAGATCAGTCCACATAGCACGCCATCGTTCAACCTGCCCACGAGGAAGAGTTCGATCAACTTCGCAAGACCCAGTCTCTCTCTCAGGACACCAAAAAAACACGTTGGCCAATCACGCCCGAGAAAAGGTCGCCAGAGCGAAGACCCCCTTCCCCCAAAAAACATGGTTCAAGAAACGAAATCTGACCCCCCCCCAGCCCAGGGCCTGCTTGACCGAAGCTTTGCGAGGCGATCGGCGCGTGATGATGAGATGAAGGGTAGACGCCGGGAGATAACAAGCGCGGGCGCGTCGTTTCTCATGCCCGAACGCCTTGGCAGCGGCCCCGTGGATCCCCCGCCACCTGGGTCAGGCGCTGGTTGACTCCAGCGCCCACTTCGGGAACGGTCTCCGAATCCGGAGCCTCTGCGGAAACTCTGACGCAGCCTGGGCCCTTAATTCATGTTCGGTCAACCCTGGGGAGATGGGGCGGAGAGCCTAGAGGCCGACGCCGCCCATGTAAATCCACCTGCGCTGGGATGTGCTCGCGCTGCGTGGCGCAAAAAAACAATGCCATGCCTGTCGCGCACTGAAGTAATCCCCAAAACGTAGTCAACGCAACGCTCCGCCCCATCCTTGCCAGCGAGAGCGTGGTCGCGCGCGCGGGCCACATTGGTTATGGCCACATGTAAATAAAACTGCGCCAGACCAATGAGTCCCCGGATCTGACGGCAACTCTCGGACCCAAACTCTCGGCCTCCACTCTCTCGTCCGGAGCAACGAACGCAACGGCATGCTGCCGTTCCTTTAAACAAAAAACATGTTC